AGTTAATGACTTGTCTCTTTGGTGATTAACATCTATGTAGGCTTTATTTATGCCATATGACCACAAAAATGTGACCCCAGAGGGATTGACAGCTCACCGTGTGAAATTGCTGCTTGAGGAACTGAATAAAGTGCATTGCCATAAGCGTTGCATGATTGGGTCGGGTGGAGGTTCTGTCGGGTTTGTATTTCTGTAGCACTAAGAAGCTATGGTGATTTTGATATTATAATGCTAATTATCTGAATTATGTGTTTGTAGACATATAGAACAAAAACTTTAGGGATATGACCAATCTCCTTCCAAATTTCTAAATTGCCAATCCTACTGTTTTCATTCTAGAATAGCCACCCTATTATTGTTTCCATTTTGTGAACATATTAATGTACTTACCTTGTAATCTACCAATTGAAAAACCTGAAACTTCTGAGATGCAAGGTTATTAGTTGACTTCCTCACCCTGCTAAAAGGTGGATTCCTCCATTAAGCGAAAAGCTTATTGGCAAAAACTTACTGCAGAACTTCCAGTGAATTGCTTTATTATGCAACCCGGTGTAAGGCTCATTCTTAAATGTTGGCACCTTCAAGGCCATGCTGCAAGTTGAATATGGAACTTAACTAAAATAATAGAGACTATATATACTTTTAATTTTGGACTGAATTTCATTGAAATATCATGGTCTTGAAGCCAAAAGGGGGTGTGGTGTGAAGCCAAAAGGGAGTGTGGTGTTTAGCAGACCTTGTACTTCTAATTGAGAAATCTATTTATGTATTCACATGTTTTCCATTTTAGATTCATCCCACAAATATAATAATGTGACTAATTTCAGGTATCTGGCGCATGGAACCGCAACAGATTACATGTATGACATTGTAAAAGTACCAATGGCATTCACCTTTGAGGTTTGTGGAAAGAAAACTCTTTTCATAGAAATTACTTGTTGCAAATTTACCAATTTAACATTCACACTTCTTCCTGGACAGATTTATGGAGATGGCACAGCCTCGCCAAAAGACTGCTTTAAAATGTTCAATCCAGTGGAACTGAC